AATATTTTACCCATTAATTTATTTTCAAAAAACATTTATGTTAATGACAAAATTGTTTTTCAATTTTAGCCACCGCAAATATTTGTGCTAAAAACTTCGAACACCTTGCAAAATTCCTCGGAATTTCGGTCTTTACCTGTTGCTGGAATGATTCATGCCGAAAGTGATTGTTTGGCAGGACGTGCTGGTTGCCCGATGCCGATCCGCTGACTATATCCATTTCGAAGTTGGCAACAATTAATTATTTTGCGCGTTTTAAGAGGTTACTGTGGTTGTTGAAGTCGCTATTGCCACATGTTGCACATTTGAAATCTTGTTTGCAGAAATGTAAATTCAAGATTTTCACAAAAACAGGTTTCGGGGCACTTGGTTAAAACATTTAACTGGCCACAAGCAAAACACACGAATGACACTTGAATTACATCTTTCTATGCGGACTTTTCATGTAATTTTCGTTGTATTTATTTTCGTGTTGTTTTCTTTATATATCTTTTTTTTGTGTTTTTCGTTAATTAATTGCAGTCGCGAGACGCGCGCGTGACAAACGAAAATCGGCGAAGAGATCGAGGAAAAAAAGTACAGGCGCCTCCAACGAAAACGAACACAAGCGAAACGGAGGGAGAGGGACAAATCAAAATCAAAGCGAGGGGGCGAACACAAAAGTATTGAAGGAATCGGCGCGATATATAGAAACACGATTCGTCCGTTAATCGCGTCCACTCGCCAGCAAACGTTGGCCACTTTTGAAATAGACTCAAGAAAGCAAAAGCCGACCGACGTACGTGGAAAACGTTCAGTTCGAAATATGCTCAAAAATGCCCACTCACCAATACACACATAGTGTTAAGTGTGCATGTGAGCCAGGTAAGCACACGCATACCTGTGAGCACAGGTAGATGACAAAACGTAAACTTGTTGCTGGCAACATGAGCGAAAAATGTTGCCGAGCAACTTTTCGCTGGCAACCCGGTTTGGACCTTTTTGTTGGACACGTTTGCCAGTGTGTGTGTGCGAGTGTGTGTGTACAGGTGTGTAGAGTTTCGGCTCACTCAAATCGCTCGAATGTGTGGTAAGGCGACAAAGCTACAAAGTCTTCTTGCAAATGGGCAGCACTGGCAACGGGTTTTGATTCGCTTTTGGCTTACAATTTTGACTCCTTTCGTTAACCCTAAAACTTTTGGCATCACCTGAAACTCTCACAAATCACATCCTTTATGTCTCTTAGTGTACAAAAATAATAATATATAATAAAATATATTTCCGATGCTCTACTTTATAATAATCATTATTTTGTTCTTTTGAACTTGAATTTGAATTGTGAATTTGTAATATTTTTTTACATTTAAATATTATGTGGGTGTATTAAGTAACTATTATACAAAATAAAAGCCAATTTGTTTGATCTCATTTGATTTAGTACTCATTTTGATTTTGGTATCAAAGGGTTAAGCAAGGAGTAGGCTCTCTTTCCCTCTTATTTTATTTGTACCCCTTTTTTTGCGTGAAGGAGTTGTGCAGTTGTTGTTGCTGTTCAAGTTTGCAATCAAAGATAAAAGAAAAACTTCGCAAAAGTCTCTGTTTTTGTTGTTGTTGGCATTGCATTGCAGCAGTGTGAAGTTGGTATTTATAGGAATGTTGGTTGATGTTGTTGGCAGAGCTGCTGTGAATTTGCAATGAGCGAAATGGTTAAGGAACTTACGAAGCAGGTAAAAAAAAGGAGCACAACAGATGGTTGCAAAAGTGCTATGAAAATGCAATGAGTCAGTCACCGGCTGCAAGGGCGTTATTCCACATAAATATATAAATCTTCGATTTGCAGGTAGTCAAGGAATTCCACTATCTTAAACATTAAAGTGACTGATTTTTATGAAAAATATTGATTAAGTTTAGCTTTGAAATAGGTAATAATAAGGAAACAAATCACGTTTCAGTTTATAATTATACATTTATAAACACCATTTCTTACTGAACATTTTTTACTCCTTTAAATGCATCCGAAAACTGCTTAGAAATCCATTATCATAGACGCCATGTCCAGCCCAAACAATAACAAAAGAAAATAAGTTTTCAGTTTGCTCAAGTGGAATGAGTAGACAAAAAGTCAAGAGCGATGACAGAGGAAAAGTGGGAAAACCAAAACAGAAAACGTTTTCCAAAAGATCGATTGGTCAAATAGTTTAATATTAACCTAGGTCATGTTGCAACTAAATAATTGTAAGCTGCAGTAATCATTTTTGGAGAATCGGTAGCCAGCAAACGAGTTTCAATTAACTAGTTGATTAGTTCTTCCCCATTAAGTATACGTCTAGTTGAGTTGTTCTCTATATTATTTCCCAAATTCAATTAAGTTAAACGGTTTTTTGAGGCGATGATTTTTATCTAGTGGACGGGACTTCTTTAATGCCCTGGCTTATGTGAAGCAATTACCCAAAAACTTAATGCACTGCAATTACTTTATCTCTCCTTGTTGTTGTTTTATTTTCTTTGAGCAGTTGAGCACGTGCAACATTCCAAATTGTCGGCGTGTCTTTTTAATTTTTTTCGTTTGTCGTTTTTTTATTTTTTGACACAATTATTGTTTCGCTGGGTCTTTCGAAAAAGTTAAAGTCGGAGGCTACGCCACCTGGTGGCTGCTGCCGGTCATTACAGATTAAAGGGGGCGGGGGGAGTGGCTTTAGGGGCCACTATAGTCTTGCAATTGGGTAATATGCTTTGAGCTACACTACCACTGCGCACAGAAAACTTATTTCTTCAATTTTTTTCATATTATGGTGGCTAAACTGGTAAAAATAATGGTTTTACCCCTTAATATACATTGTTTTCATTTTGCCGTAAAAATAAATAAGCTGTCAGACTTCATTAAGAGCTCACACTGTTTTTTTCCAATTTCTTGATTGAATTTATTCTGTCTTGTATTTTCAATAAGCTGCAGCAGTTCGTTTAAAAAAATACAATGGCACGTGACTGCCTTGGAATACAAATTTAAAACAAAAACTGGCGGCAAAAGAAAATCTGTAAAATGTTTTAACAAGTTACTGGCCCAACTTTCTTCGCTTCCTCAGCGGAACCTCAGAAAGATACCACATTGGGGGAAAGGGTGACGAAGTCGTGTGCCTTATTCGATTTACGACCCACTGCAGCCAAAGGGGAAGCCCCCAAGCAGACTTGGTCTGCATTGCAATTGTTTTTACTTTTTGCTTTCTTTGCATATTGAAGATACACTGAATACATTTCCCCCAGCAAATGAATTTATTCGCCAGCATGTTGGCTTAAATTCCTTAACCCTTTCGACCCGACTCTGAAGCTAGAATTTAAAGAGATAAATTTATGCTCATTTCGTTTGGGTTTCCACTTGCAATTTATTTCATTTCATTCGAGTTCTAAATGGATTCATACACACGGCGGAAGTTGAGTCACGGGCGGCGAATTACACTGGCTTTGGGTTGATTGGAATTTGTTATGGAATTGAATTTTGAATGGATGGCCCTAATTTTATTGAATTTCCTCATATTTGTATTAGGTCAGGGAACAGTTGATTGGATAGAGCTTAAGGATGGAGCTTAAAAACGAATAAAATGTTTTTAAGTCAATCGAATTGTCATTCCTATTTTTGTATTCTTCAAGACCTTTTATTATATGTTATATTTCAAAGTTTAAAGCTTTTTGTTGTTTAAAAATTACGACTCGAAAATATTATGATAGTTTCTATCCCACTGTTATGACCATGTTTAAAAGCACAATCAACGAAACCAATTTCTCAAACTCAAGTGCTCCTCAGAGTCCAAATCTGGATTCGAAACAGAAGCGCATAAATTGTGCCCCAAGCGAACAAAGAATTAAACCAAAAAAAAAGCTATATGTATATCCACTAATGACGATAGCAAAAGCGAACCAGAAAACCAAAGAAAGAAATATCAAACCGAGAAAAAGACTAAATCGTCATGGAAGCCTGAACAGCAGCGGGTTAAAACTGCATAAAATGGATATAAAAGAGGGCCTGAAAGAAGTAAAAGGAACCGCAGCACAGCTTTGACTTTGAGTCTTTTTGAGAAATTGAAAGGCCGAAGTGAATATATTTTTGGGGGCAGGTGTGTTTGGGGATGCCAAATTAGCAGCTACCGCCGTCCGACCTGCTCCTCCTCCTTTGCCAATCTCTCGCCTCGTTTATTTCTTCATCCCATTTCCATTAAAGCCCCCCAGCGAAATTTTGAACATCATTAATTTTAATTTTTGCGCAGACGCACCCCAGGGGCGTAGGCTTCACTGCCTCCATTCTGGACACTGCAGACGAGCCACAAGTGATGAGTGATGGTGACCTGGCGGAACGAGCTATACCACATCCACATACCCACGAATGTAATTAAGGTGGCCAAACGGAAAAAAGGTGCCACAGCGACAATTGAAAGTGTTGCAACGCCGGTTGACAAATTGTCAAATTGCTCAAGAGCAATGTAATGTGGTGATTGATTGCTAGGCTAATGCATTCAGTTGCGTGCAGAATTTCGAAATTGGTAAGCTAAGGTATTTTGTTTTAAAAAGCTGTCTAAATATTTATTATTTTGGAAACTATATAGCGAACTCCTTTACTTACAACGATGAAGAAAAATGAACAATCATTTTTTCGTTAAGATTATCAGTGTCTACAATCGCAGTTTAGTACAAAGCTCAGCTTAGACAAAGCAAAAAAAGCTTATATTAATATAGGTCCTATTTTTGGCACGTTTACAACTGACCGTGTGGCCTAATGGATAAGGCGTCGGACTTCGGATCCGAAGATTGCAGGTTCGAGTCCTGTCACGGTCGTTGAAAATTCTTTTTTTTCAACATTCAATTAGTAATAAACTAATAAATATAGTTTAATATGGCATGGATATAATGCCACTGAAAAATATTATTATTTTACGATTATGATTATCATTATTAGCTATAAGTTTTTAATACCTATTTTCATGAATAAAATGTTTTATGGCCTTTTTTATCTGTTTCATTATCCTTCTTACCTTCTTGAAGCGTCGCCGCTGTGTTGAAGAATGTGTGGATGCAGTATCGAGAAGATTGCCATTGTTATCCCCATCCCTTTTGCCCAGCGCCTGAAGAAGATCATCAACGTTGCGTATGTAAGGACGATCCCGCTCCCGATTCCTTTCCCTTTCGCCAGCCCCTCCTCCACCGCCACCCATGCAGCTGGTAATGCTCCGGTTGCCCAGACTATTGCTCCGTGATCTGGATCTCGACTTTTGCTTGCCCAGCCAATAAACCTGATTTGCCAAATTTATTTCAGCTGCTGCAGCGGCCTTTCTTCGGCCGAATTGTTGTTGCTCCTGCACCTGCTGATGCTGCTGGTGGTGTTGTTGTTGCTGCTGCTGCTGTTCATTGGCCAGATATTCTCCGGCTATATGAACTTTGGGAGTACTAACCAACTGCAGACCCGTAGCTCCAAATTGCTGGGGGAACTCGTGCAATTCGAGGGGATAGCGGGGGTCCATGGGCTGGCCGGGTTGTCGCGGATACATATAGCCATCGCGCAAAAACATCTTGCTAGTGGTATAAACCCTATCGTTGATCTGGTACAAGCCACTCGAGCCCGGACCCTCACCGCCCCCAATAATGCCATTTCGCACATAGGCCGCGGGGCGATAGCGAACCAGCGGGTTATACACATTAGCTTTGGGGGGTTTCGTCTTGAAACTGCGACGTCGAGTGCTGGTCTTCATAGTTTCAGTTTATTATTCGTTCGTTTCTATTCTCACCCCCCGATAACTTTTTCAAGGGGTTTGATTGCTTTATTTTATGAATCCACCCCTGTGCAGTTGGGTTGCGTGCGCACGTATCAAATGTTTTCCAGTTTAAGCGAGCATGAATCAAGCGACCGTGTGGCCTAATGGATAAGGCGTCGGACTTCGGATCCGAAGATTGCAGGTTCGAGTCCTGTCACGGTCGACACCAAAAGTAGCTTTTTTTTTCTTTTTTTGTTTTTATTAAAAACTTTTATTTTATTTTTTAATTATTAAATATAGTTTTAATATAATAAACGTTTAAAATATTCACAAAACATAACAAAAAGAGTTCAAAGATACACTTGAGTGATTTTACATAACTTCTACATGGCTTGTAGAATGACGCCTCATTAAATGTGGACCGTTTTGGTACTAGTCATAAGAGTGTGCAATTAAAAATTTATTCAAATTAATTTCAGCACTTAAAAGAAATTTGTTTTAAAAGAATATTTAACAATATTTAATCTAAATCAAGCATATTTTTAAACTCGTATTTCTTATGTCATGTAAAATGTATGCAAAATGTAATTTATGGCCGCACAATAGTATGCTATGATTTTCGTTGCATTAGTTTTCACCGCCTTCTTAATTTACAGCGCACGAAAGTAGGCAACACTATTATTTTTACAACGCCTAAAAACTGCCGTAAAAACAATATTGAAAATATTCAATTTGTAATGCTTTTCCGCGACCAACACGTTCGGCACACTGCACGTTCGATTTTCCACTGCAATTGTTTGATTTTATTGCAACAACTTTTTCTGTTCCTCTGTTGTTTGCTGGAAGGCACGCACTGCCAATCCAATTAGCCAGGGTTCACCTTTCGAGCCGTTGCCTCTGTGCAAGGTAAATTGTTTTTCGAACCCAAAGTATTGACACAGTTTTTCGAGTCACTTGTTTTGTTAGACACATTCGTCTTCCTGAACTGTCACCGCGATGTCATATAAGTAAGGCGGGAAAAAGAGAGCTATGCTAATCTGTCAGCTCTGAGTTGGTTAATTAAAGACTGATTTGGCAAATAATTGTGGCTTAGCCATGCTCGACCCCAATACCAACTTACAAGTTGAAAACATTGCGAAAATTCAAAGGTACCTCGATTAGGTCAGTGAATGTTCAGTGTATTGAACTTTTGATAGAATCATTGACGCCCCTTTTTACTGAATGGCTTGTGAATTTAGTTCAGCATAGAAAATGCCTGTTCAAGGTTAGTTTAAAAAAGGTTCAAAATTTACAGCTCAAAAGTTAAAAGAAAATGAATTATAGAAATCAATATTTATAGTCTAACAAGTCTTAAAAGGTTTCACACTATAGAAATTGATATCAACAAAATCCTAATGACCTTTTCTTCATTAATAAAAACCACTTTTCCCTTTTATCACTTCAGAAACTCCACTTAATTAAATATCACTTTAATTGGTCAACTTCCTATTCTACCCTATCTTTATAGAGATTTGTCTTTCTTACACTTCCGCCCACGAAAATCGAATATTTCTTGTGGGATTTTTGTGGTTCGAGGCGCGACGAGCTTCAAATACGAACTAAACTAAAATAAATACATTGAATTTGAAGAGCCTATCGGCCACGAGCATTTATTCCAATGGATAACGTTTCCAGTCGGAGAAGAATACAAGAACAAAAACGATTGCGATAAAGCTGACTGAGTGGTGAACTGAGCTGAACAGAGCCCGAGTAAAACGAAATGAGGGGCTTAAGCCAAACAAATACACCCCCTAAAATGGCAAATTGAGGAAGGGGCAGATGTTTAGGGGCAACAACGAAAGGAGAACTTTTTAGGTAGGGTTATCAGCAAATCACACACAAAAAATTAATATACCAAATATCTCATTCAATTTCTGCATTTCCAAAGGGTATTTTGGAATTGGTTTTTGATTAATTTAATCAACTTTATATAGTGAAATTTAAAACTAGGTCAGGAATCCATCCTAAAAGCTTTGTTATTGGAAAGTTTTTTCTTGTGGATGTAAGTATTTATAAAATCCATTTTAAATATATACAAATTACAACCAACGTTTTTTCTTTTTAACCTATCTAAATAAGGCGTGAATTTTCTTTACAAAACCTTTATAAAACGAAATTTTCATACATATTCTTTTTATAATTATTGTGTGTACTTACAAAGAACTCATCCTCGATGACGGGATCGGCCAGCATCTCGATGGCCTCCGTCATGGATCTGCAGGTGCGACTCGTGTTCTTCTTCTTCTTGAGCTTCCTGCCCAGGGTGGCGGCATCGCTGAACCGATGGAGCAGCTTGTCCCGCTTCCGGACCGCCAGCGGACTGGTCGTCGAACTGGCGTGACACAACAGCGATCCATAGCCGTTTGTGGAGGAAATAGTTCCGGTGTTCGCATAGAAGTTCTGTGGCTGATATTGTGCCGGCGCAGTCAGTGTGCTGTTCGAGTCGATTTTCTGGATAAGATTGTACTCGGATTGGGGATATTTGCTGGCCAAATGGGATATGGAATCCGCCTTGGATGTCAACTGCGGTTTGGGCGGCGGCGGTGGGGGTGGGTCCTTCATCAAGGCCACCCGACGGGGAGCCGCTCGTGGAATGGTGGCCGAATGGGGTGAGGAGGTAACGTCACCGCCATAGCTGACAGCCCGACGGTTGCGATCGTTTTCCTTTTCTCTGCAAAAAAATAAAAATAATTTTATTAGATTTTGTTAAGTTGTTTTTCATTATACTAAATTGGGTATAAACATATTTAAATAATTATTTAAACTGTTATTTTATGCGTTTTAAAATATTTGAAATGTCAAAACTCAAGTCTGAGTCTGATGGAAATTTTGAACTTGCTAGGAAACTGTAAACTTTAATTCTTCCTTTGTCTGTCACATAGTTTTTAAATATACTTAGTTAAATTTAATTGATTAATCTTATTTTTATATCTTCCCACCTATAACGCCTCCTCTGCATGGGCGGACTAAAGAAGCAGTTAGGCGAGAGGGGCACAAAGTAACCCCATTGAGGGTCCCGATCCGGTCCCTCATGGTACATTCCCAACTGGGGTGTCATCTCCCTGGATCGACTTGATCTCAATACGGGCATTGACACCCTCTGGGGACCAAAACTCCTACTGCAGCGGAATTGATTACGATACATATGACGCTCCAGGGAAGATGTTGTGGTCGTAGCATCCGATTCCAGGGTGCAATCCGAATGATCCTTGTTCTCCAGGGTGACATTACTGCCCAGCCCATCATCATCATCGTCATCCGTAGAAGCCTCTGGCACTGTATAACAGGTGTAGTCGAATTGCGACATTTCACAATCTCTTTTCCCGTTTCTATTTGTTTGGCTTTTCGTTTGCACAAATTTAGTTATTTGTCATTGTCTTTGCGACTCCCACGTAAAATGTTTCAATTATTTAATTAGTCCGCAACTTGTTGCTGTTTTATTTAAGTGTTTTTTACTTTTTTTCTAGACAAACGTTAAATGACAATTTCAGTTGGCCTGGCACATAATTGCTCCACTCGAGTTTGGCTCTGGCTTAAATATTTTGTTGGCAAGAGAACATTAGACAGGCCAAGGCATTTATCATGTTCACCCTCCGGACACATTGTGTTTCCTGCTACGGAATTTAAGGGGCTGTGTATGTCCAGTGGGCACAATTAAAAGTCGTTTTCGGCCTCCGTCGAAAAGTCGCCCTAATGAGGTGTTGAACGGAAGACGGCCATATTTGGTCTAGTTAAGATATTTAACTTCTCTTTTTTGTTTTACAGACAATTTTCTTCGGGCGAACACAAAGAAAATCAGTGGGAAAACTTGGAGCGCATTTTACAAAAGTAATTATTAATTCTAGCAGAAGAACATGAAAAAGCTGTGACCGTTCTTTGAAATTAAATAAGTAATCTTTAAGTGTCATCAAGACAAATTTGTATTTTCTGTAACCTTTTAAGTTTGGTATTTAAATTATTTTTTAAAAGTTAATTTTATACTTTTAAACTCTTCCATGATCTTTTTCTATACGAAACCGAAAACAAACAAAATGCCCTTAAAGCCTACTAGCTGGAACTTAAAAGTTCATTAACAATTTATGGGGCGAAAAAGGAAAGTGTCAACAGTGAAATCCATCAACAATGCAATTAAAATGTCAAACAAGGAAGCGACTGAGAGCCAGACTCCCCTTTAACCCGTACTTCCTACTTTTAACCCCCCCTGGAAACTCCGCATTATTTGCCTGACACACGCAGCTCTTTTTAAAGAGACTCCATCATTATGATGATGCAAAAAGTGATCCCTGAGGGTGAAAATGGGGGACTGAGGTCCATCTGCAGAACTGGCAGTCAGCAACAAGCCGGATATGAAGATTACAACGGATTTGGGTTGCTACTTCTGCAATTGTTTATATTTATTTTATTGTTGCAATTATTTTCCTCTTTACTGCATAGAATTGCATATTAGCAAAATTGAACATGATTAATGGCAAGCGAGAGAAATGGGGAAACAACCGGAAAAGCTAAGTGTAATTTATGATTACTGGGAGGAAAATAGGCGAATGAGGCGCCGATGTTTTAAAAGTAGGAAAAGGATTCCCCCATTTAAAAATCAGACAGAAAAAGGGAAAAAATGTTTTATCTTTTCACTTTTATAATTATGCGTTTTATTATATGCAATCAAGTCTAATTTTTTTGCATTACTTGGTTTATGTTTTTATATATTTGGATGCCACTGCATATATTTATTTATATATTTTTGTTTTGTTTATATACTTTATATTTTAAAGTATAATTTTCATATTATTTATTGAGTTATTCAGTTAATTAATTAATTTTTTATTGAGATTTTATTTCTTATATATTTGTTGTTGTCCACAATTCCCACAGTCGTGCTCATCAATCATTCTATTAATACTTTGATTGGGTCAGCGAATTTCCCAGTCATTTCAGAATGTATTCTATATTTTTCGTACTGTGTTATTTAAAATATTTTTATTATCAAAACACGGGCACACACTCGCACAATTCCGTAGAGTATAGCCCGATAGAAAAGTTCAAATAAAACGTTTGTCTATTTTTCAATAAGAACTTTTCAGTTCACGCCGCGGCTGTTCAAAGTAAATGTGCTGACCGCCGGCAATTTCCGAACTGATTTCGAATAGAGCCACAGAAATTTCGTAGCCGCCGTGGGGCATCATCAGCAACAAATACAAGCAACCCTCT